TCCACTTGCTAAGAGTGCTGCTCATGCTACGGTGGCCTATTGACTAAATTCGGTCCCTTCCCCTGCAAGCCCAGGCAGCATGGGCTGGAGGAGCCAGAGGGATAATTTGCATGAACTCAAGCTTCTGTAGTGATCTGGCCCATAGGAAGGGAAACAGGGCCTGTTCAGGAAAATCAGTAATCCCTCAATGAGACACGTCATTCAATGGGCCGAGGCTTCTGAGCTGACGGGGCTGTGTGTGCTGCCAGCCCTGACAAAGGCACGCAGCAGCATCTGGCTTACAGCTTGACAGCGTTCTCGCTAGCACCGTCTAGATTTCTTTCCAAGTTCAACAAACCAGAAAATGAATCAAAAGAATAGCAGCCATTCTGGGTGCTCTTACTAGGCATGTTATGGGAGTTGTTCATTTAATCTTCCTAACAACTGTGCAGCAATACAGCCCCATCCTGTCCATTTTATAGTTGAGTAAACTGAGCCCCTAACAGGCTTTATAACATGTTTAAACATGCACACATCGAGAATGAGTATCTGGGAGGTTAGGACCCAGACATGCATCTCTGCTCTCCCCCGCCTACCGCTGTGAAGACTTCTGTGACTGACAGAGTTGAGGAACTCTGGCAAACTTCACAACCACTGGAGGAGAGGAGGCTGGGGAGCCAGCAGCTGCCATTCTTGACAACAAGGAACCCCAGATGTGGCCGTAGAGCAGCCAGTTGCTGATGGGGACTTTTGTGAGAGGCTTTGTGGTAAAGATCAATTAAGTCAGTCCCAGGGGTCTCATTCTGAAAGGCAGCTCCAGATGTTGATGGTGATGAGAATAGACCTTTGGCCTCCTGTCCTGGGCCTTGTGGGTCCTGCAAACTCTAGGCACAAGGGCCCAAACCTGCAGTGCCGGTGCTCAGGGGGCTGAGGAAGCAGGAGAGCCATGAGTTCAAGGCCAGGCTCGGATACATTGTGAGACCTTGTCTCTAGTAATTAGCTAAGCAAATGATGGTGGGTGGTGATTAAGGCACTGACCTTTCGCAGGCCATTAGGGATAGCTCAAGGGCCCAAGCCCTTGGGGTCAGATTTTACTGGCTTGCTTCTAAGCCACTTTCTCTCTAAGAACGTATTATGTAGGCTTCCAAGGTATCGATAACAAAAATCTTTTCCCGCTGAGGGCAGTGAGGTTGAGTTCCTTTCATTTCTTTTATTCCTGCCACACCCTGGACTAGAAGATACCAACCTGGCATCTCACACTGAATGTAAAGGCACATATTTTTCATTGACATCTCCCCAACACACACATCCCTTTCTTTCTTAGCATGTCTCCTAGAAGTGCTTATGTGTGTGCTGGCACAAGCCTGTGATTCCAGCACTGGGAAGGTGGGGCCAGTAGGATCAGGTTCAAGGCTGCCAGCTTTGGCACCGTACTGAGTTCAAAGCCAGCCTGGGTGATAAGAGACCGTTCCCCAGGACATTATTTATTGTTGGCTATGTGGTTTGAATTTAGATACCCCCACTCACAGGCCCATGTGTCTGTGTATGGTTATGGGACCTTTTAGGAAATGGAGACTGGTTGGAAAAGGTGAGTTGCTAGGAGCAGGCTTTATATGTTATAGTCTGGCCCGGCCTTGGTCTGAGCCCCTACCTGCTTCCTGACCACTGAGACTGGAGCAAACGACCTCATTCTCCTGCCACCCGATGTTTCCACTGTGATATCATCATCATCTCCAGCCATGAGTCCTACCTTAAGGGGCTTCTCATCGGGCCTTCGATCAGACGAACAGGGAAGGTTCTGGCTGCATCTGCTGACGTTACAGACTCAAGCCCTTCTCTCACTCATCTCTGACTCACTGGGTGTTTTGACATTCGGGAGCTAATGTCTTTGTAATTGGATCTCTTGATGTTTGTATTCATAGTTTCTGAAACTCTCCCCAAGCAAAGATCATCTAGTAAATTCTCAACAACATCGTATGCTAGTTTCAGTCATAGGAATTTTTTCAAATTTTAACTTCTCAGTTTCACTCAGATCTATTCAGATTGTTTCAGTCTAGGTAAAATATGATACCTCTCACAGCTTAGCCTAGATAACCTGCAATAAATCAGCCAGTGAGACCCACCCTTTCAATAATAATAGCAAACACTGGTCTATCCACAGTGAGAACACTGAATGCCCCTACGGAGATGACTGAGTCCAGATACAAAGCCCAGGAGCTGACCGGGGCTCTAACGTCCTGAATGGTCAGCCTGCCCACGTTTTCTGTTGCTTCAGCTCATCCTGCCTCACACAAAGAGAAGTGGAGCCACAGACTTTTTCTGTCAGACTAAGACTCTTCTCAGCCAGTCAGGAGTCGGGGCTACTCCTCTGGCGAGGAGGCTTTCACTCTGATAACCCCTGCGAGTCTGGGCCTCTTGTAATTACCCTCTAGAGATGAAGCTAAGTGGAAGTTCAGAGGTCAATCTTTTCACTGTAGAGGGGATGTCAAACACACTGGGTTAGAGTCAGGGTGAGCACTGAGCTGTCACTCTAAAGACCGCACTGTGCACACACTCACCAACAGATCACACTGTGCACACACTCACC